TCAAGGAGCACAGACCAAATACCAAGGAAACATACAAAGATTGCATCCCAGTTCCTTATACCTCAGACTGGTATGATTTAAAGTTGGCTTTTCATACCTTCGGCTGGGAGAAAAGGAGCAATTCAGTAATGAAGATCAATACATCACAGGACAAGGAAGCCATGCCCCCATTCAGCTAGTTATACGTCTCTACTTTGGCAGTACAGGATGTTAAGAGGCATAGATCCCAAATCCACAAAAACTCATCCTGACTTAAGATAACTTTCTCATTCTGGCTACAAATTTCAGGGGCTATTTTATAAATGATATTGCATATAGCAGCTCACTCAACATGTGTATCAAATAGGAATCTCTAAAAAAAAAAAAACAACAAAAACACTACATGCAAGCAAACAAAAAAAACCCCACAAAACTTCACAGAAGTCACTTGTACCCGTCTCATTTCTTTATTCTGCCTCCTTTCCCCCGCCAAAAGAAAATTATTACGGATCTGAATAGTGTGCACTAAGACCCAAATTTATAGGCAAGATTAAGTTTTTACTGAATTCAAAGAAACTAATGAAGGAGGCTGTAAAAAATAAAACCATAACAAGCACAAAATACACTTTGTACAACAAATCTTCCCCTGTTAACCAGCTAAGACAATAATTTTAGTGAAAATATCCCTTTTACCTAATTTAAAAATCACAGAATGCTATCACTTCTGAAAAACAGAAACTGATCATGTGTCCCTACCCCTCTTTTTTCCTTTATTTACATAGCAGAGTATCATTCCAAGCATTTCAAATTTTAAAAAGCCAGTGTTTGCAGTTCCTCCTGTAGTTCTCACTACACTTCCCTGTATGCTCATCATTCACACTGAAAGGAGAAGTGGCTTATCATAGCACTGAAAAAAGAATAGGATCCTGCAAATAGAGATCAGACCACATACATAAAAACCACATGAAGGAAAGCAAAGTGACAGGTAATTTTAAATCTCCATGCTATAGCTCACTGAATAACAAGAGTGTTAATAATGCTTCTAAGGAAGTCCAAGCAGAGAGATGACAACAGAGCAGTAATGCAGCCTCCCAGAAGGCAGAGGAGACTAGGAAGCGTACATTCCTGTAGAGGGAATTCCAGTCCTCTTGTGTACTTCTTCCCAGCAACACTGAAACTCTTAATCTTCAGCTTTACAACACATCTAAATTACAGTGACTAATGGTGTTAGCTGGCAAGAATAGCAAAATCCAAACATCTACTGAAGGACAGACAAACCAGGAGCAAACAGTTGCTGCAATAAGGTCTGTCCAAGGATCCAGCTCAATTCTTGAAGGTCAACCAGTATGAATATACTCCTGATTCAGATAGTGCCACGAAGAGCAGAAGGAAAGAAAGAAAAGAAATGGTAGCCTGCTAATGGAGGCAACTTTCTTTTGACAAAGTGGTAATTGTGAGAGTCAGACCAAATTCAGCAATCCCATTACAACCTCCCCAGGAGCAAAATAATTCCCTTATGTGTTTTCAGCACAGCATCATTGCCACTGTTGCTTTTACATTATTCCAGTCTGGGCTTTTTCAGTGTTCTAGCAATGACTTTTCTGTACAACATGGGTGACAGATGGGGAATGATGATTTTTCAAGTGATTTAGTCTCAGCAAAACTCAAACAATTTCATGGGGCAAGGAAATCAAACCACTTATTTAGCCTAAGGACTTTGCCTCTTGCCAAACTTCGATGACTTCTGCAAACAATAAAACTTCTCAAAGAGGTCACACAATTTCTTTGTTATGGAAACTATTAGGCAACCTAAATATAGAGTGTGCTACCAGTTCCCTCTATAACATAGTACGCTAGGGTTCTCTTCAGTATTCCTTATTCATGCTTCTAATGAACTTCAGCAGGAGATTTATCCAAGTAAGAAATTATTATTACAGTCCTATGTTCCTTATGTTTATATAATGTCTTTCATCCAGACGATTTCAAAATGTTTTAAAGGTCACACGTAGAAAATTACTATATTCAGTGCAGTCTCCTATCAAGAGGAACATAGCAATTTCAGTACTCAAGCAACAAAACAGAACAATTTAGGTTAGAAAGTAAATATGAAAGCCACGCCTACAGAGAGAGTTTAGATCCTCAGTGACATTACCAAATTAACATCTGGCAGCGGTTCTAGAGTAAAAGGTACAGGGACTTTCATCTGGCAGATGGGAGCTTAGTTCTAAATCTGACTCATGGCACATCTAACTGGCACCATGTTGGGGCACTCCTTTAGTACTAACCCAAGGAAAAGAGTGCCACCTTGGGAATCAGTTACACCACTTTCTACAGCATCCAGGATTGCTCTTGGACATCCCCCCTCCAAGCACAGCCCAGCTTAATCAGTCAAAGTAATACTGCCATAGACAAAGTTAACTGAACTCCATGATCTAATCTGCTTTCAAAATTCAGTCTAGAAATAAGATAGAATCAAGAAGTCATAAGAATTATTTGCACTAATCTTAACAATTCCACCAGTTGTTAAAGAACATAACCGTGTCTAGCCCCTGGCACAAAAGATAACTCTTTTGGAAAGAAGAAATTATTCAACAATGAAAACACCCATAAACCCTACCCCCACCTGAGAATATTTCTGTAAAGTTAAATGTACATAATCAGTACTAAAAAAAAGAAGTTTTAATCAACTTTGCACCTGATTTCCAGTGGCCTTCAAACTCACTAAACTTGAATATGATTGCCTGTTTTTCCACCTGAAAATCTGGTCATATTTAGAGAATTTTAACATGCAGAAGCAGATATTTAAACATTCCACCACAAAGAAACACATTTCTCTGAATTAAAAAAAAAAGTAGTGTTTTACATTGCCTTCTAGACATAGCTCTCCTCACTAAAAAAACAGTCAAAAATTTTAAGAACCACTGCACACTAAGAACCATGCTGAGGCATCAATTTAATCTAACATCAAGCTTCAAAATGGAAGACTGAAATAAATAAATAATGCATTCTCACTGTCATCAAAACATGGTAGTTTTGTTATTCTGCCCAATGCTGATGAAAACCATTTTGTCCTATAGGCAATACCAACAAATGCTTTAACAAGGCACTAATTTTGTCACTTGGATTACAGATGCTTAAAAAAAAAAAAAAAAACAAACCCACCCAAATGGCCTTTTGTGTCTCTTTGGCACCCTAATGATCCTCTCCATGGACACAAGGGTCTACTTACTAGCTCAAATCAAATATCAGAATTGGAGACAAAAACTGCTTGGCCTAAAACCTCAACCTGTATTTTATCTCATACCATGTGTAAAACCTGGACTTTGGAAACATATGAAAATGCAATTCATTTAAACCCTCTGGGAAAAAGAAATCCATAAACCTACTCAGGTACACATTGTTACAGTGTTTAAGTAGAGAAACAAAAATCTACCTATCAACTACAGTTCTTCCATAGCAGGGCACTATCAAGGAGAAATTGGAAATTAAAAAAAAAAAAAACAAAAAAAAAACCAACCCAAATGTTTTCTTGCTAAATTATATAAAATATGAAATATTCAAGGGTGGAAACTAGAATGCAATGAAAATATTTGTTTCTCAGGAACTCCACACTCTTTGATTTGGCATGGGGTTTTTTTGTTTTGTTGGTTTTTAAGTTACAATGCCTTTATCCAGCTTTTATCCAGTTTCCAATGCAACAAAACATAATTTTACACTGACTTTGCCTATCAAATTGACTGGATGTTAAAGAGCCTTTTTTAAAGGCTTTGCATTAATTCAGTAGTCTTATTTTGCTGAATATTACAATCTGTACACATTTCTCCGTGATATAAACACAATGCCATTGTTATAACTGCAAACCACACTATTTGTGACAGATGCAATTCCCTCTCAGTGCATTTACCTCACTGATTTCCTTTGTTTAAAAAAAAAAAGCAACTAGTATCGAAATCTCAAGTTAGAAGAAGTCCTTTCAACACTCATTCTGGTTTTCAAAAGTCTAAGAAACCAACTCCAGAAAAGGAGTAATTTTTTTTCTCATGTAATGGGATCCAACCTTGTAGTAACAATTTAAAATCTAACATTTGTTGCAAGTCATATTCATCACTGCTTTAACCAATATCTACAATGTAATTGTGGCTTTTGATAGAATTGCAACTTTGATTGCTATTTAAACTTCTCCTGCCGACAGGATTAACCTCTAGGTATGATAACTGTAAGAAAGGATTCTTGAGCAACACTCTCTTCCGTTAGCATGCATGGCTACAAGTGCACTCCTGTTCATTTATAAAAAGCCCCCATTCCCCAAACACACACGCTTAGGCCACAATACTGAAAAACACCGGCAGGCACAGGAACCACTGCAAGGTAATCCATTGCAAGCTTTCTGACTGGTATACAGAGAAAAGGTCCTCCTGGGAAGTCACTGTTTCATGGGGAGGCAATTCCATATGGCGCAATTCAACTAACAATTCCTTTCTAAACACTGAAGGGTTATAATCCACCTCCTAAAGCCCCCAGAAACCTGGATGATGATACTCTGTGATGAAAAGTGAATTAAAATTAATACTACTACTACTACTAATAATAATAATAATTATACAAACGGGTTATGTACGTGGTAAAGTTAAACTCATAGAAAACATAAATTTAAAAGAAAAAAATATTAAAGGATGAGTGTCTTAGCAGGCACACCCCAGGTGATGGTTCTTCTTCATGCAAGGGGCACAGCCTCTCCAGGGTTAGGCTATGCAGGCAATTATGCCCTTTCTGGTATTTATAATTTCTGTTTCCATACTCGCCGGCGCACCGCTGGGTCAGGTTTACCGAGGAGCCCCGGGGGGCTGGGTGCTCCCCCTCCGCCCCCCCGCACACCCCCCGGTAAACGTGACCTGATTCCTATTACGGCCGCCCTCCCGCACACCCTGGGGATGTTCGGCGGCTTCCCCGGCCCCCATTCCTGCCACGGCCGCACAGCCGCTGCCCCGCCGCCCTCGCTCCCCCCTCCGCCGGCGACCCACCGTGTGGAAGTGCCTTTCCTCACGTCGCACATCAAGCACTTGAAGGCCTCGGCGCTGTTGCGGAAGGTGCAGACGCTGCAGTCCCAATACCCCTCGTCCGAGGAGGGTTTCGGCTGCCGCTTCGGCCTGCGGAGACACACGCGCGCCAGGGGCAACGCCGGCCGCGCCGCCCCCGCCGCCCCCGGGGCAACCCCGCCGCCATCGCCGCCGGCCCCGCGCTCCCGGAGGGCCCGGGGGAACCAGAAGGCGCCGCCGCTGCCCCTACCTGGTCGGGCTCTTCTTGTCTCCCATGCCGGCTCCAGACGCGTCCCCGACCCGGCCCCGGCGCGGCCCTTTGTGCGCTTGTCAATAAGAAGGAGCGCGGGGGGTCTCCGGGCTCTAGCGGGGACCCGGGGAGGAGGAGCCGCCGCCGCGACCTCCAGCTGTCGGGGAAACTCCCGCTGCCGCCACCGCCTCCCCGCTCACGTGTCCGCCCGCTGCCAACCAGCGGCGCCCGCAGGCCGCGGCGCCCCGCGGGCCGCGCTCGGCGGCAGCTTCGCTCCGCCGGCGGCTCGGGCGCTGCGAGCGGCGGCGGCGGGGCCCGGGCAACGCGGGGGCTGCTGGGGGCGACGGGCGGAGCGGGGGCGGTGCCGGCGCCGGGGGGCGGCCCCGACGGGGGGACGGGAGGCGGTGCTGGGCTGAACGGGCAGAGCGGGAGTGTGAGGGACTGCAGCCGGCCTGCGCGGCTGGTCTGTTGTCGCGTAAGGTTGATCGCACTAGCACCTTGTGCTCCTTCCCACAGAAATTGCTCCAGGCCATGCTTTACAGCAAGAAAGAAACGGGAATAAACTGAACACGAAGTTCTGCTTAGCAGTCTTGGTCTTGAAGCATCCCGTTGGCCTGAGGCCAGTGGAGAACGCCGTGCGTACCAATACAGGACCAGGAGACAGCGATGTTACCTGGCACCCGTGTGCAGCGCGGTGCTTTTGCACTTGAAAACTTGCAAGTACAACGTGGTTCACAGGCATCATAGCAACATCAGGCAGGATACGGGGGTTTATCACCTCTGTTATCTTAGAGCACCGGAGCCCAGTCACAGACTAGGATGCCATTTTGCAGGATGCTGTGCAAACAGAACAAAGAGCAAGCATATGTCCTAAGTGCGTAACAAAGACAGCATTAGACACAGGTAGACAGCAGAGTGCAAGCAGACAACGAGATGATACTGGTCACCATGTCAGTGGCCAAAGCTATTGTTGCTGCATTGTCTTTGTCAGGAAATGATAGGATTTCAAGAACAAAATATGCACAAGGATAGCTTTACACAAATATGTGAAGACAGATGTTTTTGTAAGCAAGTGGACAATGGAGAAACTTCCTGATTCTGAAGGCAAAGTTGTCAAAACAAGTTTCAGCTAGAAATACTGAGATATGATGGAGAGAGAAAAAACGTAGGTAAAGTGCTTGACATCTTAGGAAAGCAATTAAAGACCCATTCGTTGGGACATTACATTTATGTACAAGCACTAACACTTCTACAAGATTCATCGTTTTCTGTGTCTCTCTAGCAATCCTGTGCATTAGCAAGTGGAAAACTGTGTAGGATTTCCTACTTGTGGCTGGAAATTCATCCTAATTTCCTTCTGCATTCACATCCAGCTTCCAGCATTGCAATTTTCCTCACCTTATGGGTATTTTTTCTGTTTTTGCCTTAGCTTTTCCTTTCTTCCTCTATTGCAATTTCTTTCTTTCTTCTCTCTTTATGCTTGTCATAGAGTCTTTTGTAAATTATGAATAAAATGTATACATTGCACATCTAAGGGTGGGCCACGCCATGCACAGACAGCTGGCCTGGGTTTGTTTGCATTTAGTTAGACGTCTATGTAAACTACGTGCCCTGACCAGCCCCCAGCGGGGAGAATAAGCTCATGCTGAAGGTGATTGATCTGATGCTAAGACAGGCATCTATAATGTTCTCCGTAATTTTACGGGGACCATTTCTTTCCTTTGACTATAAAGAGCACTTTGCACAAGTAGTCCAGAACAGGACGTCTACCCTTTAAAATTACAGTATTATATGAGGTATCTCACCTGTGCTTGAACCTACATAGAAATCTCTTGACAGGAAGCAGTGGAGAAACCTGTCTCCTTGTGCCCTTTTCCACAGTGCACTCTTTCTACTGTATAAATAAACATGTTATTTCCCCACTTTTGGAAAGCAATTATTTTGAAACAACTATTTTCTCTTAACCTTTCCTCTGTCACAGCCTACTTTTTCCATACGGATTGTGAGAAACGGAACTTCCAGTGATGGTTACAAAGGCTGGGATATGTTGTAATACCTCAGGAACCATTCTTGGAGAGAACCATTTCTAATCAGTCAGACGAATCGCAACTGCCAGCCACAAATGTTATCCCTAACAGCCAAGTAATCTTTCTGGTTGTTGTGTTCCAGATCTCCCACTTCAAGGCCGTCACACAGTGCTCAAAAATCAACATGTTTTCCCAGCAGCATTGGACCTGTTTCCCACCAAGCTCCCAACACATCCTTATTTTGGGAGCTGAAATGTGATTCAGATGGTGCATTCAAAAGTTCAGGTGGATGGATCATGGTGTTACTCCCAGGGCCCATGGGTTTGTGCAAGGGTGGGTCTCATTCTTGAATAACACCGAAGAGGAAAGAAAGGCTCTTTTCCTCGCACCTTGTTCTGTCCTCAAATAGGGGCACAAGAGAACACCACTGAAACCATCAAGCCATCCCATGTCATCTTTGCAAATGAAATGGTGATAGAAGGCATTATTTAATGGCAATGCAGGAAAGCACATGGAAGAGGTGCGTGCATTAGTCAAATGCTGAAGAGATTTGGGAAGACTTTGATACAAACTGACAAAGTTGAGTATTCCATAGCCAGATATTTTGTCATCCAGTGGTACCCATGTGAACTCAGAAAACTCATCTCTCTTTGCAATGGCACATGACTTAGACTCTCACTGTATGGCACATGACCTAGAAACTTTGAATGACAACATTTTAATGGCATCAGTATTAGCAGTCTTTTAAAAAGTGTTTCAGGGAAAGAAAGGGAAAGAATTAATGAACCATCATTTTGAATTCTCCTAGTTCTAGGTTTAATTTCATCTAGAATTACAGTTGTTCCAGAATGGTTATTTGCACCCTGTTTTAATTCAGGTGAGCTAATGTAAACACATTTTTGAGACAGAAGAGATGGGCAATATAATTGTATCTTTGTACATCACGTATTCACTCTCTAGCTAGTGTTTGGTCTCTTATTATCTTAAAATTGACTTTTTTTGTAGCATTGTACAAGAGAAGTGCTAACAATATGATTATGATATTGAAGATGATATTATGCTGATAGCTTTGTGGAAGTAATATATTTCAATATGCGGTATAAATGTTCCAGCATTCATGACTTCTCAGTTAAAAGTTTATTCATAATAAAGAGGATGTGAAAGGGGATGGTAGCAATTTTTAAGTATCTTTTTGTGTGAAAATTCTTGCTGCAGGGAAAAATCACAGTTGTTCCTGAAAAAAGGTATTCACACACAAGGTTATTTAAGAATAGGCTGATGCTGTGTAAATCCCTATGAAGACTTGCCATTTAGTCAATACTTGAACCATTGTTGTACACATCAAACCTAAGCCGGTTGCTGCATTATCAGCATCTTGAGCAATTAAGTAATCACTTTGTCACTGCTTGAGTTCAAAAAACTCTCCATAAAAATGATTGTCATTATATTGTAGATAAGCCACCTTTAAATTCTTACTCATGAAAAGGAAAACTACATAAGTATAAAATTGCACTAGAACAAATGTATGTTATTCCAGCATGGTGTATCTCTTTGGGTTGCACTGATATAATAAAATTAACACAGTTAAATCAATTCATGGGAATTTGACTGGTGAGGTTTTTTGACATGGTATAACGAGGCCCAAATCCTGCCTGGGTTTCTATGTGATGCTGCACTGCAAAAAAATCAAAAAAAAACCCCACCAAAATGAAAACCAACCAAACCAAACCAAACAAAAAAACCCACCCACACAAAAAACCCCACAAAACAAAACAAACAAAAACAACAACAAAAAACCCCAAACCAACCAACCAAACAAAACAAACAAACAAAACAAACAAACAAAAAAACCCCAAACCTGAGCTAGTGAAAAGTGAAAGCTGCTTTCAGACCCTATAATAAAGACAGTAAGATTGGTGATAGTAGGAACTGCCTCTCCAGCCTGTGTTTACTCAGCCTCAGGGGCAGCCCAAGCTATCAAAAAACTATCAGTGGCTCCTGATAATCTATGCTTCTCTTACTAGTGTGTGGAGGTAGGAGAGTGAAATTCTGATTTAGAAAGGGCTGGGACAGAGAGGGACCACATCTAGAGATTTGTATTATTTTCTAATATCAGACAGCCTAAAAACCATTTTAAAGAGTTTGCATTTCCTTGCATGTACAAGCCTGACCTAAACATATTGTATACCTTTTAGGAAACTATGGCACTTATGAGAGTTGGTTTATCACCATATCCTTCAGGTTTCACACAGCTAGAATGGCCCTGACATCAGCATGGATATACTGTCATGAGTCTCGAGTAACATGGTGGTGACTAAGTCCAGGGGTCTTTCTGGGGCCATAATTTGCCTATTTGTACAAATTTGGCTCCAAAAACATAAGACAGAGGATTGTGCACAGAACACAGCAGCTGTGTGTGTAAGATCAAGATCAAGAAAAATTTGACCAGAGTGGGTTATTTTTTATATTTGCCCCCTATGAGCTGAAATGAAATTATCAAACCACTTACTTTCAGATGCTTGGCAATTATCAAATAATTATTTCAGTAACTTCTTACTTATCATTCACTCTCATGGTTTGGGCCCAGCCTTTATCCTTTCAGATTTTGTAGTAAATTTAAAAGTTGTTCTCTAGTTTCTTTAAGTCCTCTGCTTTATCAAAGAAAACCCTTAAGGTATAAGTTTCCCTGCTTTTTCTATTCAGCCTCTCTCTGAAGTAATCCGAGGTGTGAAGGATCATTGGTAGGACTAAAAGAACATTCTCAACACTCATTAAATATTTCTGTTCCTTTTACTGAGATTTCCAAGCATGGTGGCACATGTGACAATCTTTAAGACTGAAGAGAATAACTAATTTCAGATGGATCAGATTGTTAGTAAACAATACCAATACTTAATTCTATTCTACATCTCACAGGAGTGGTGTGCTTAAAACTGTTTGTGAATGCTAAATTGAAGGTATGCCAGGTGATTGCTTCAGACACTGGAAAGGTGTTCGCACCCTGCGACTGGACTTGAGGGACCAGTGGAAGTTTCCAGCCTAACAAATGGTGAAAGATTGGTTCCTCCAGGCCAAATGGTTCAAAGTGGTAAAGCCAGAGTTTTTCTTTGAACCATCTATAAAGGAAGCAGAGGGAGACAAGGCTCACTAGCATCTGTGAATGTGGATCTCCAGGGTCAAAGGAACTGGAGAGAAGCTGCCCTTGT